CTGAGGATCCACAGGAGAGAGGGAAGAGAGAAAGGGACCAGAGAGAGGGAGGGGATCCAGATGAGAAAGGGAGAAGAAAGGAAGGAAGAGGAGAGGGAGAGGAGGAGAGAGAAAGGTGGAGGAGAGAAGGGAACCACAGGAGAGAGAAGAGAGAGATGAGGAGAGAGAGAGGGAGGAGATGAGGAGAAAGAGGGGATCCGGAGGAAAAAGGGAGGAAGAGGAAAGAGAGACCAGAGAGAGGTTGAGGAGAGAGGGATGAGAAGATCCAGAAGAGAGAGAGGGATCAAAGAGAGTGAGGAGATAAGAGAGACAGAGAAGAGAAAGAAGAGGTGAGCCAAAAAGCGAGAAGTGAGGGAAAAAGAAAGGACAGAGAGAGAGTAACCAAAAAGAGGGGTAGAAAAGAAAGAAAGATTTATTTTAAAAAAGAAAGAGAAAGAGAGAGAGATTGGTCACAGAGGGAAAGAGAGAGGGAGAGAGTGAGGTGCAGTGGAGAAAGAGAAAAGAAAAATAAAAGGAGAAAGAAATAGCAAAAAAAAAGAGGGACGTAAAGAGAGCGACGGGTTGAAAGGAAGAGAAAGGTGAAGGGGGAAAAATAGAGAGAAACAGAAAAAGAAAAGGGTTTACAAAAAATGAGAGAAACAGGAGAAAGAGAAGAAAGGAGGGAGACAGAGGGAGAGAGAGAAGATTGTTTGTTAGCGTTAGCATTTAGCATTAGCGTTAGCATTAGCGTCACCGTTAGCATTTAGCATTAGCATTAGCGTTAGTTCAAACCGCCCTCTCGCTAAACGGCGTCACATTCCGAACACTCAAGAGAAATTCCACACGGCACCACCAAAGGAAAAACCACAGCCAGTTTAGAAAGTTAGAATCATATTTACGGTTATTTAAATGAGGAAAAAAAAAACTAACAAAAAAAACACAGAAGCATTTTACAGCGTTTTGTAAAACTCCACAGCGGCGGTGACGGAGCAGCCAAACATTATACTCAAGTAAAATAAACTGAGCAGAATTTCAGAATAAAAAACTGGGACATGCGGGTTGGGATGGTTGGTACAGGACTCAGTTCTGCTTAATATTAATTGTATTTCTTTATTTAAAAAAAAAAGTAAATATCATTGTTTTGACAAACTGCTCAGACTGGTGATCGGCAGTAGTAGTATTCGCAGTAGTAGTATCTGCGGAAGTAGTATCTGCGGAAGTAGTACTCGCAATAGTAGTACTTGCAATAGTAGTGCTCGCAATACTAGTACTACTATTGCGAGTACTATTGTCGTACTCGGAACAGTAGTACTCACAATAGTAGTATCCACAGTAGTAGTATCCTCAGTAGTACTAGCAGTAGTATCTGCAGTAGTAGTACTCGCAGTGGTAGCATCCGCAGTAGTATCCACAGCAGTACTATCCTCAGCAGTACTATCCTCAGCAGTACTATCCTCAGTAGTAGAATTCTCAGTAGTACTATCTGCAGTAGTTGTATTCTCAGTACTACTATCTGCAGTAGTAGTATCTGCAGTAGTAGTATTCTCAGTAGTACTAGCAGTAGTATCTGCAGTAGTAGTACTCGCAGTAGTAGTACTCGCAGTGGTAGCATCCGCAGTAGTATCCACAGTAGTACTATCCTCAGCAGTACTATCTTCAGCAGTACTATTCTCAGTAGTAGAATTCGCAGTAGTACTATCTGCAGTAGTTATATTCTCAGTACTACTATCTGCAGTAGTAGTATCTGCAGTAGTAGTATTCTCACTAGTAGTATTCTCAGTAGTAGTATCTGCAGTAGTAGTATTCACACTAGTAGCATTTACAGTAGTAGTATCTGCAGTAGTAGTATTCTCAGTAGTAGTATTCACACTAGTAGTATTCTCAGTAGTAGTATCTGCAGTAGTAGTATTCTCAGTAGTAGTATTCACACTAGTAGCATTTTCAGTAGTAGTATTCTCAGTAGTAGTATTCACACTAGTAGTATTTCTCAGTAGTAGTATCTGCAGTAGTAGTAGTATTCTCAGTAGTAGTATTCACACTAGTAGTATTCTCAGTAGTAGTATCTGCAGTAGTAGTATTCTCAGTAGTAGAGTATTCGCAGTAGTAGTATCTGCAGTAGTAGTATTCTCAGTAGTAGTATTCACACTAGTAGCATTTGCAGTAGTAGTATCTGCAGTAGTAGTAGTAGTATTCTCAGTAGTACTAGTAGTATTCTCAGTAGTAGTATCTGCAGTAGTAGTCTTCTCAGTAGTAGTATTCACACTAGTAGCATTTGCAGTAGTAGTATCTGCAGTAGTTGTTCAGTTTATGACTAAATAATGAAAATGTGAAGCTGCTGAACAAAAAATATCATTTAAAAAAACACCTTTAAAATAAAAGTAATGCAGCTTTAGTCCAGGCTGAGGTAAAAATATAAATATGTTTATTTTGTGATTCCAAATGATCTTAAACAGTCCGGGACAGTCCCAGTGTTGAGCCTGAGTCCCCTGTCCCAGTGGATTTATCCAAAACCACTGATTTGTCCCAGTTTTAAATAACAAATGTCCCTGGTGTTGTTATTTTTGACCAATCTGATCCCTGCCAACAGTAAAGAGAGACTTAAATTGTAATTTGTTTTGGTAAAATACAGAAAATCTGCTTAAAAACGACCAAAAACAAAGAAAATGTGACTATACTGACTCACATGTTCGTCATGAATGGTCTCCGCAGAACAATTTTCCTTAATTTCGCACTAGTTTCACAATTTTATTATCACCAACCACCAAAAAACGCGGATGTCCCAGTTTTTTATTTTGAAAATCTGGTCACTCTAGGTCGGTATAAAGAAAATTGTGAAAAGAGCATGTATTCTCATAATTTTTGAGGCCTCTATCGCTGCATTTTTTTTTTTTTTTTTTTTTTTTTTTTTTTGCTTTATGGTCATTTGCAAACACGGTTTTCTGTATTTTGGCTCCAACAAATGACAATTTATGCTCCTCTTTACTGCTGGCAGGGATCAGATTAGTCAAAAATTGTAATAGTCGTGTTTTAGTCCTGGTTTAAACCTGATGTAGTCTTGGTTTAGTCTTGGTTTTCGATCAAATTGTTCAGAAATAGGGACTCTTGTATAAAACTGGGACTGATCACTGGTTTTGGATAAATCTGCTGGGACAGGGGTCTTGGGTCTTGGGATCAGACCTGGTTTAGACCTGGTTTAGACCTGGTTTAGACCTGGTTTAGACCTGGTTCAGTCTGTATGTGGCGCAAAAAATCCTGCATTGCGGCTTAAGTCACGGAAACAGCGATTATCCATTTTTCCATTATTCATTTAAACACAAAATTGAAAACTGAAAAACAAATAATTATTTGTTTATGTGTTTGTTTGTTTTTTCCATTTTGATTTTGGAGACAAATAATGAAGAAAATTTTTGCTTTTTCATTCTCTTATTTTTGGTTTTATTTTGAAAAACAAATGCTACACAAATTGTTATATTATTAAATGTCTCTGGCCCAGGGGTGGGCAAACTACGGCCCAGGGGCTAAATACGGCCCTTTAATCTTTTTAATCTGGCGCGCCGAACTTGAATAATAGTAAAAATAATAATAATTGTCAGTGTTTTAAACGTCATTTCTATAAATAGTAAATACCATGGGACTTGAAAGACAGATATTTTGTTGTAATGATTTGTAATGATTTTCAATTATAGGATATTTCAATAACGTTTTTTTCTCTTATGAGGTGAATTACCAAAAAAAAAACTCCATCCATCTGGTCCTGGTCCGGCCCTTCTGTCAAATTTTAGAACCTTTTGTGGCCCGTGAGTCAAAAAGTTTGCCCACCTCTGTTCTAGCCATGTCAGAATCTTCCCTTTTTTTTTTTTCCAGCTTCTTTCTTCAAGTTAGAAAAGAGTTTTGAAACAGATCTGTGCTGTACATGCGACTGGAGTTGGCCTCTCGAAGCCAAAATAGAAAAGTAAATGACAGAGTGGTGCTTTTTCCTGTTTTAGCCTGAGCCCCGAACGTCACAGCTGCAGCTACACGACCACATCACCGACATGTGACCACACCGCAAAAAGTACGCATCATCTACAGGGGACTTGAACCCAGCACGTTAAAGACGGGGTATGTTACTTCTCTGGGGTTTTCACTGTAACACGTAACATATTTAGATCACCATGTTCTTTTTATCGTTTTCAAAATGCTGTATTTGCCGAAAACAACGCATGAACATGTTTTATAAGTCTCCGCTTCCGTTGTGCGTCGCACTAACGAAACTACTACAGTTGTATTCAGTTCTGTGTTTTTGTACATTTATGTAGAATTGTTGTGTGGGAGCATGGGGGGATGTAGATTTGTGGGCGGAGCCTTGGACAAAATCTTACATCTAATCATAATGAGGGTTTGAACAGGGCAGAGGAGAGATCTCTAGATGACTCAAACATGCACGGATGACTCTAAAACCTCTTCAGACATGTTTTTAATGAGGGAACAACGTTAGAACATGGGAGAAAGAGACAAACGTCAGTTTTGCGTGACACTCCTTCTTTAAGTTGTCTTGATGTAATTCAGGTTACGTTTACACTGAAACGAATCACCGTATCTGAAACGATTTGCGTCCAGACATGTCGTTTCTGTGTCCGCAATCAAAGCTTTCCCCATCCACACAGTAACGCAAAACCACCCGAAATGCTAGTCACATGACCAAGCTGGCGTCACATCGTCACGTGGGACGTAAAAACAAGAAAGAGGAGCACCGTGTCTGAAGTTGCAGCAGTCGATTTCGAGCCAGTTCAGTTGTTATTGAACGTAACCCTGGATTTTAACACGTTTGTCTACAGTTTGTTTAAACCAGGGGTCTCCAACCTGTAGCTCGGGAGCTACCAGTAGCTCTCCACAGACTTCCACGTAGCTCGCCAAAGGATTTTGGAATTACATGTACGGTCCTGAATAAGTACAATTTGATGAATTAAATGCCTATTACCATTGTACATGTGTGATTCTGACGCTTAACTTTATACACTAATAAATGGATAATGGTTTAT